CAGTAATAATGCATAGCCTTAAACTCCCTTCTTTTTTCTTAATAAAAAGCACTAGAGCTCTCCAATAGGAAGTGCTTGGCCTGATGAACCCCTTCTCCAATAAGTTCTGTAGTGGATCTTCAACTCTTGAAGCTCCTTGATTGTCATTCTATAAGGTGCTTTCGCCACTGGTTTTGCACGTGGTATTAAATCGATTGAAAAATCTCTCTTTTCTTGGAGACAAACCTGAAAAATCATCTAAGAAGACTTCTGGATACTCCTTCACCATCAGCGGCGTATCCTTTAACTTCTTTGGTTCTTTCATAATATCGATGAATTGAGCTAAAAAGCCTTGATACCCTCTTGCTAACAATTTGCATGTATTTAAATTGGATATCATCATAGACATGATTTCTCAATTACCCACAAACTTGAATTATTTTTTTTTCCAGGGATGCTTAATTTAACTATCTTTTTAGAGCAATCAATATTTGTGAAATGATTGGATAACCAATCCATCCTTAGAATCACTTCGAACTCGGTAAGTGGCAGTACTACCAAATTCGCCTTGAAGCTTCTATCGCAGATGGTCAGATTCACACAACAGCTTCCATCAGCCATTATGCGAGACCCATTAGGTAGAAGAACTTAAGGCATCGAGCATTCTAAAAGCTTCCAATCCTTCAGACTTCACAAACTCTTCAGAGAAAAATGAATGAGATGCTCCAGTATCAAATAAGGTTCAGACCAAATTGTTTTGAATAAATATAAAACCCATACTAAGCAAAAAATGAGTCTCGCAATATAAATAAAGATTTGACAAATCTGTTAAAATAAATAAATACCTGTAATGACGTCAGATGAATCCTTTGCTTTCTGTCGAGTCAGTGCATATACTCGTGGCTGCACATTCTGACGGGTTTGACTCAGAGCTGAAGCTGATCCTGCCGACTCCACTGTCCTCCGCTTTCCAAAAGTCCTCTAAGTAGGCAGAACACTAGCCCTGACATCAACCTGAGGTCTCTGTCCTAAGGTAGGGCATGACCTCGCCATATTCCAGGCTGATGGCACCAGAAACATGTGTTGGTGCCCGACAAACACTCTTCTCTATGTCCCTTCCACACTTGGCACAAGTAATCATACTGCTGCTACTACTGCCAGTTCCACTACTAGCTTCGTTGCGACTGGGTCGAGACTTCTTCATACTAGACTGTCTAGATTGGGTGGTATGTCCCGATCTTGGTTTGTCATCTCATCTTCCTCTTTTGAAAATCTCTACGCCTCTGCGTAGCCATTAAATCAATCTCTATCCTCTTCGCTCTCTCCACAAGAACTGAGTAATGCTCAATGTCAACAGGAATTAAAGGCTATCGAATGACATCCTTCAATCTAGTGAGAAATCGGTGACACTTTTCTTCGGCATTTGGGATCAACTGAGGCGCATAGCTGGATAACATCATAGATTCAGCCTCATATTGCATAAGGGATTGGTCGTCCTACACTAGTCTGATGAACCGATCCTGCATCTGACTCCTGGCTGAAAGGGGAATGAACTAATCACAAAAAATCTTCACAAAGTCCTCCCGCTATATTTGACTTTTGGGTCGTCCGCCAAACTTCTGTTGAAGTTGGCCCTGCCACCACCTCTCAACTCCCACTTTCAAAGCAAAAGTAGCTAATGTGACCTTCTTCTCTTGAGGACATGAAAAACCCTCAATGATTTTTTCTACCTCAACAACCAGTTCTCCGCTTCAATTGACCCTCCTGCTCTTGAGAATAGTGGTGGTCGCATGTCCTGGAACAACTTCAGATTTTTATCTAGCTGAGCTGGCCACTTCCACTAGCCTGGGTTTGAGAACTCTGAATAAGTCGTGTAACCACGACCATCATCTGAGTAAGCGCTTTCATAGAGACGCTAGCACCACTAGATGGAGTATCAGTATGTGTTAGAGTCATTTGATCCTGATAATTAACACTCTTACATCTCTATCATTTTTATTTGTAACCTCCGGATCGAAATCAATTGTCATGAGAAAACATAATTTTAAATTATTAACATAAACATTTAATCACTTTTTTTAACTATCTTAATAAATATTACTGTTTTTCCTAATTGCTCTTTTATGATCACTTCTTTACTATCTCTAACTGGGCTCTAATACCACTTTTGTCACGACCTGACCCGATGAGCTTGGAAATCCCAGGGCGGCAGCTAACGATCGGATGGAGAAAATCTATCTAACAGTTTTATTTCATCACAAAAATAAAATCCAGATTACAAAAGAGTCATTCTAATTCATAAAATATATTCTTACAATTGATTGTTCATATTTAAAAGTTTACACTTAAATAAAAAATGAACTAAATTACAATACTTGTGAGCTTGCGCTCCACGATGTTTGTATACATGTTTCCTAGAGTACATCTAATCTACAACCAGTTTTCCTGTAAAAATGTTAACAACTATGGTTTGAGTTAAAACCAGTCATTAGGTAAATGTTCTTAATTACAATAATTCTCATTTTTAAATATCTTTGTAAAAGTGTGATGACAGTAAAAACTGTGCAGTAAAAGAGAGCAATAAATAAAACAAATTTCATTTCCCTTCATTTATTTAGGTTACACTTCATAATTGAGAGTCGTCGTTTAAACGTTACTTTATAAAAATACAAGTTTAATTTTTTTCAATCCACCATAAAGGTAGGCAGTCATTTCCATCTCTATTTCCATTTTAATTTTCATTTTCATTTTCATTTCGTGCACGGGTAAAATGCATTCCCCTACTAGTACCATCTAGGGGTGACTCTCATATGCATGCATATATCATATTTTATTCATTTTATCTTGCATTTAAACTTTAAAAGAAAACTTGCATTCAATATTTAAAAAGAAGCATTGCATTTTAAAAGAAATAAAAGTTGGAATAGTAAAAACATGCATAAATAAATGGAACTATTGCAAAATAAAAATATATTATCCACCTCAACAGTATCGTGCACTCCTCACACATGCAGAGCTCTCACACTCAAGCTTTTGTAATCCCCTTTTCTTCCTCGCTCAGTTCTCGGTCGAGGCTCAAACATCCGCTCAAGCCCCTCCTTCACCTCCTCCTTCACCTCCTTCCTCTGCAACCCACACAAGTTGGATGGCTTGCCTCCTCCTTTCTTGATGAGTTGCATGAGAGGGAGAACCCCCCACCTCCTTCCTCTTCCAGCTCTCGATCGAGCTTCCAACAAGCCGCACAAGCTCTTATTTCCCTTCTACGGCTCGGTTAGGGACGATTGCCTCTCCCTCCCTCTTCTTTGCTCGGGTAGGGCTGCTCTAGCCGTCTACATGCATAAAAATGCCGCACGAGCTCCCTCCTCCTATCTCTTTGGCTTAATTACAGGTAACCTCCTCCTTCTCCTTCTTCCTCTTCCCCAAACACTTCATTCGTCACCTTTTCTTCTTCCTCTACCTCACTCTCTCGCTCTCACTTTCCCCCCGTCTCTCTTGTACTCTCCTTCACTCTTTGTGTGCGTGAGTTCGAATGAAATAAGACGGGAAAAATCCTCATCTTAACGCTCCCATGAGCGAAAAAATATTGTCAATCATCGGTGGCCACGTCGCCCACCGCTAATTAATGTGTATGGCGACGTGGCCGCCAGTGATTGATTGTCCACGTGCAGTGTCTGGACAAAATATTTTCTCAGCCATCAACGGTGCGATCTCACTCAAAGGAGACCTCATTTCCTACAATATATTTTTTTTCAGATAATAATAATAATCATTATTATTATTTTATATTCTTATTATTACAGAAATATACTAAATAAATTAAATTTAAATGACTTGAATGATATAATTTATATTGCAAAACAATTTCTTTTACTTTGGAAAAAGATTTGTTCATAATTTTTCTTACTATTATTTTGTTGTCTAGCAAAATATAAATATATATTTTATAATACATGAAAGGATCTTACATTCCACAAAAGTATATTTACATCCTGATTTAAAATTTATAAATATGATTTTTTTAAATCAAATATTTATTTTTTTTTGTTACTAATGTTTCAGTTGTTTGTTTTCACTAAAAACAATTTATGTGTTTTTGTTTTTGAATTATAAAATAACCCTAATATATTTTTCCAATTATGATTTTAAGCAAATACTCAAAATTTTCGTTAATATGATAATTCTTAAAATTTTCGTTAAGATTCAAGAATGGTTCAAGTAAGATTTTAGTAATGTTCTTGCAAGATTGAGGACCGTTGAGCAAGATTTGGGCAATGTTCGAACATAATTCGAAAAAGTTATAGTACTGTAGAATTGATCATTTAGAATTTGCTCTCTTTTTATTAGCTGTGGATGATGAAATTTTTATGGTGAAAATTGCTAGTTTTATGGATTTGGCTTTCCTGCTCCTCCTTGCCCTTTTAAACCAATTTCTTTAGGCAATGAGCCTAAACAGGTAGTCCAATCATGCATGAGGAATAGTTTCATCTAAACTAAATTTTTATGTATATTTCTCAAATTATATTTATATATATATGAGTCAAGTTTGTGCTGCAAGCCTTGGCCTGTTGGTGGTGGGGTCACTGTAGGTCCCCTCAGGTCAAGGTTTCGATCGCACCATAGTGCGAGGGCTCTGAAATCTTAGGCACATGGCGCGGGTTCTCATCATGGGACCAAAAAGCGCATGAGAAATCGATATTTGGGCCCCTGCCAAATATCAATTTCCTTTTTTAATATATACATATATATATATACATATATAGATATATATATGTATATATATATATGTATTATATATATATATATGTATGAGTCAAGTTTAAGGTCATACTAAAATGAAAAATTTTGATTTGGAAGCTGGGTCAAATTCGCTGTCATCTTTATATCAATCAACCCCAGTTAAATGCAAGATGCATGGAAGATCAAATTATAGGCAAATCTTGTTCCACTCGCTTGCTTTTCTGTGCTAGTCATTCTACAAGAAACTTTGGACTAGTTACGCTAACTATGATGGATCTACACAGATGTCCTGCGGAGGAACCCATTCTGTTGCATTGACTCGTGATGGGAGAATGTTTTCGGTGAGTTTTATATTTCTAGCATTTCCCACATGGCTTAGAAATTATAAATTTAACCATCGTTTGGTATATATGAAGCTTTGTTGATCTGTAGCAAACTTTATGTTTGGCACCAGCCAGGCTTGGGAACACTTTCAGAAGAATTAAAAGAAGGGGCATTTACTTGCTTACCACCCAATTCTTCTGTATTTAGATACCTAACTCCTGAATTATAAATTTTACATTTATATTACCCAAATATGTCATATTACATAAAAAATATCACTATTTTAACTTTTACAATGTGAAATACGTCTTTTATGCATAGGTAAGGTATCATATATGTGAAAAATTGAAGTTTAGGGGCCATCTAAGTCAATAGTTAGGAATTAAGTGGTATGTTTGTATATCTTGCTACAAAAAGGGAACTTTACAGACATCATATAATTCTTATGTATTTATATGCCTAACACCCAAAGTTTGATATTTACATTGATAACATATTGGTGTTGTAAAAATGTGCATAAAAACGTGTATTTAACTTTTAAAAATATCATGATTGTGATATTTTTGATCTGATATTAGATATGTAAATAAATAGAAATTTTGTTGAGTGTATGTAAATCCTCCCCAACCCCCACCCCAAAAAAAAAAGGCATTTGGCATTTCATCGGTACAAAATAAATAAAAAATTCTCCCATGGTAGTCTTTATTATTGGTTTGTAAGATTTTTGAACTACAGATGGAATCGGGATGAATTTAAGCACATTAAGTGCTTTATTCTTCATGCATCAAATACTACAATATCTCTAATCATGTTTCACAGCACAACAACAACAACAAAGCCTTAATCCCACTACGTGGGGTCGGCTACATGAATCATTTTTCTCCATTGTGTCCTATTTAGTGTCATATTTTCATGTTTCACAGCACATGAAAAAAAAAATGTTTCTAATTTCCAAACTCCGATCTCCATTAATTTCGATACCTTCAACTAATTTATCATCCTTTTTTTCTTTAGTTTGGGCGTGGAGACCATGGCCGACTGGGATATGGCCGTAAGGTTACCACCGGTCACCCCATGGAAGTACCGATAAACCTACCCCCTCCCGAATGCAGCGGCGACAGCAATGGCCGATGGTTCGTGAAGCTTGTCGCCGGCGGCGGACGCCACACTCTAGCCATAGCAACTTGGATTAACGAACAAGAACAAGACGAACAAACCATCTCTGGTTGAGAAAAATCACTCTTAGAATCTCAATGTTTTCATCACATGTTTTATCAGTTTTTGTAAGGTTATCAGTTATATCCAAAGATATCAAGCATTTTAGACTGCTTATGTCTTTCATGAATTAATGAATTTGGTATAAGATTGTTTTATTTATCAATAAGGTTGGGCTTTTTTCAAGAGTTTCAGACAATTGTTCTTGTCTGCTGCACATTTCAGCACTGCTCAGCTTCAGTATGGCTTAGAAAATTTGCAATTGAATGACAGTATAAGGAAGTTTAGAAGAGGCTACATATATAACCCCCAATTCCTATATTTTACATATTTAAAACATATACTTTGCTTTTAAAGCGTTTATGCCACCTAAATCTTTCATATACCATCAAAATAACATCATTTTAACTTTTAAAATATGAAATACTTATTTTCATGCACATATAAGGTGATAAATATATAAAAATTGAAGTTTAGGTGTCGATATGTAAATACATAGGAATTGAGTGGTATACACGTGAATCTTCCTTCCCAACGGTCTTCTTTCTAACAGCATCAGTGTGAATGCAAAATTTCATTATGTGGTCTTCAGAAAAGCTCTGTTAATGGAGTTGCAGGCTGTTGAAATTTCAGTGGTGGACAACTTTGACTTGTGTTATGAGGTCATCAATGGTCTAATCCAATCAGTTCTGAATAAGGCTACAAAATTTTGGCTTGGCAGAAAGGGCTTCAAATCTTGTTCGTCTAAATTCAATCTTTCGTATCATATATATATATATATATATATATAGATGATACAAGCTCCGATCATCTCTCATGCGCCTATAATTCGGGTGCCACACCTTACACAGGGAGAATCAACCCCTAGACCAGAGGTGACTTGCAACTGACAAGCAGATGCCCGACCAACTGATTTGAGTACGCTGCGCAAACTTTGCTAATATATTATTATAATAAAGACCTAATTCCTCATTTTTCCTAGACCGTTATGGTACAGGACCATACATGAATAATAGCTTAACAAAAGTCAGAATTTTAGATTGATAAAGGTATAATTTTGCGATGAAAATGTTTGGCATTTCTTATGGCTAGTCAATTTGTGGAGATTATGAAGAAAAGTCAGGTCAAAAGAATCATCCCTATATTTGTTTTCCTTTATTCTAAAGATGAATGTTAAGGGTTATTAACTGCCCCTCTTCACCAAAGTACAAATGCTAGAAGTTCACCATTTGATTGATCCTCCATGGAGAGATGAGGTTAAAATGTAAGAAATTTTGGTGTGAGAATTTGTTAAATAAGTATTTGTTTGGTTGTTCAAGTTTGGCAGAGAAATTTATTTTTTCAAATATTAATGGAAAATATGATGAGTTATGACCTCATTCTGATGATGATATTCATCAAGCCAAATCTTGGTTAATAAATAATCTATTTTGTGATAATCAACCTATATTCTCCTCTAAGAATTTTTTATTCGAAAGGTAAAGCTCTAACCATCATTTCATGATGGATTTGTAGGTACGTTACGTTTATGAAGCACTTATGCTCATTATGTGCACCATTGAATTCAGATTTGTCAGAGGGACACATTTAAGGAATAGAGTACTTGAGATCGAAAGAGAGAGTGGGTGAGAGAGATAGCACAGCGTTGACCCATAACATTGCATAACCCTTATTCATGAAAGGGATCATCTATTTATAGGGATCCATTATTATACAATTACATATTGTACCCTTGAGATTCGTAGATACGGTATTTCAGGCTATTTATAAATATTGCTATTGGGTTCCTTGGATGGGCGGGGCGGTCATTGGGCTGGGCGGCCATCAAGCCGAGCGGTTATCAAGCAAGGCGGTAGTGAGGTCAGTCATATGTCCATGCGGTTGCTCGTTGAGGGTAGGGGTGTAAACGAACAAAACATGAGCGAACAAAGCTCATGTTTGTATTTGGTTCGTTTGAAATTAAATCTGTTTGAAGACTCATGTTCGAAATTGTTTATGAAATGTGTGTTCTTGTTCGGTTCGATTTTTATGAATTTAATTCGAATTACTCGTGTTCGGTTCGAAATGAGATAAAAAAATTTTTAAAAAAATAAATTTAATTATTTGTTAAAAAATTATCAAAAAAATGGTGGAGATCAATTTCAGATAATTTAGAATTAAAATTTTTTATAATAATTTAATAAAATTTTTATTTAAAATTTTCTTATAAAATATATCATATTTTTTTACTATAAAATTTTATGATCATATTAATTTTTAACAAATTATTTATTTCGAATTAGAAGGAACTGAATATGATCAAACAACTTCTTGTTTGTGTTGGGTTCGTTTGTAATTCAAACTAAAGAAACTTGTTCGTGTTTGATTCACTTGTTTAACGAACGAATCGAACATGAACTACTTATCGAGTCGAACACGAGTTGTTCACAAACGACGGGCTTTTCTGACAGCCCAAGTTGAGGGTTCCTGTCAGCTGCTCCAGAACTGGAGGATGCGTTTTCATGTCTTGGTTTATCTGGGCTAGTTGGAGCCTGGTTCATTTGACTGGCTTTGGCGAGGGTATTTCTCAAGGAATGATTTACCCTTTATTTGTATGAGCTGTACTTTCTTCCTGGTATGTTGGGGTTTTGTCTGTTGAGTTTGTGGTCCTGAACCTTCCATATTAGGTCCAGCGTGGCTACGCCATCACTTCTGTTATTCATGTGTTGTCTTTGTGATTTGTGCTGACATATTTTTTATGTACATATTAAAATTCTCTGGTTTTCTTGCTCCTTGATCGCGACAACTGCGATAAAGACAAAGAAATCTAATTTTTGAACCACATTTGTGTTATTCATGACTACTAAATGCATAATAAGTAATTACTTCTTGATTTTCGTGTAAAAAAACATCATATATATATGTGGCGTGAGTACTTATCTTTTGGGTGTTTTTTCAGATTTGTCTTCCACAACTTTAACACGCAGAGCATGGAGGGCAGGAAACTCTCTAAGTCAGTTGTCAAGGATGCTTATGCTTCTCTTTTTCAGACCATAAAGAAGAGGGCGAGGTCAAGATCTAAGAACAAATAGTCCAGAAAATGTACCATCAATGATTTAAAAGCTCTTGACCTTGTGGTGGAAGTAGGATCTTCCAATTCAAACAACGGCTGCTTCATAGAGAGTTATCTGGTGGAGGAGGCTGGTTCCCAGAAAAAAAAACATCGTGTCTTGGGAAGTGATCCTCTAGATGTTGATCAGGACTATCAGAATGCTTCTTCTCCCATTATTCAATTTTTGAGGAAGGTGTAAGGTCGAGAGTCAGCCCCGGGCCTTTTACCTTCAGAGATGTTGATCAGGCCCACTTGTCTTGCTTGTCAACTTTTGTTGGTGAGGAACGACATCGGAGGAAAAGTGTTCTCCTTCACCACCTTTGATCTGTACTGAATGATGGATCTGTCCTCTGGTGAGGGCTCCAAGACTCCACCTCCTACTGAGCGGGAGATCTCGAACTTTGGGGTCGTTATGGGTTCTGGAATCGTCAGGATCCCATGAGCTCTGTAGGGCCACTCTGTGGTGAGTTAGTGAGTCTAGTGAGAATAACCAATGTCTTACAACCATTTGGTTTATTTCTGATTTCATTTACTCAAGAGTGTGTATTTCCTCGTGACGTGCAAATAGAGTGGTTGGTGGAGGAGCTGACAGCTGTTCGGGTTCGTTAGGCTGCCTTGCAAGAGGAGTTGTCGTGTTTGAGAGCCGAATTCATTAACATATGGGAGCAGATTTCACTTCTCCGTTTGTGTTCTGAAACGAATAGGGAAGATAAGGTTAGGATACGGAGAAAATTAATGTTCATACGGCTGTCCCAGTTGCGGTATGTCTTGGCTGAGACAATGGTTGACAATTTTGTAATTTTTTTTCTTTCCGGTTGAACAATTGTGAATGGTTGGCCTAAATGTAAATGTGTTTTACCTTGCAAACTAACATGCACATGTATGTCTCATTTTGTCGTTCAATATTTTAATATTTATGTTAATATTTATTTTTATTGGTTCATTGATATTTGAATTTTGATTTAACATTTTTCTCCTACATTGATGCAATGAAAAGACTGCACAGTCCTCGTGGCATTTCAACTTCGTCTGTATTTTATAAGTTAGTCAATAAAAGATTTTAGTTCCTTGTATGATTCATTTCTTCTTATGGTATCATTTCTTTCATTCTGTTCGTGTGATCTTCCTTGGTATTCATCTAAATTTTTTAGTGTCAACTCTTCTATCGTGTTGATCATTGTTTGGAATAGGTAAATGATAACCCTATACAAGCTGCTTACCTTTGACCTGGATGTCACACTTCATGTGACTATTAAATGGGAAAGCTTATCAGTAAATTATTGAGATAACTTGGTTGTTTACATCGACCAATTCAGATACGGGTTGTGGTTAGGGCTGTAAAAGAGCCCAGCTTGAGCAAGCTCAGGCTTGGCTCTTGTTCGGCTTGTTCAAAATTGCTCATGTTTGAGATTGGATCATGCTTGAAATTTGCTCGTAAATAGTGTGTTCGTATTTGGATTGTGTTCAACTCAAAATTGACTAGTTAAAGTTAATTGGAAAAAATAGATGTAGAGTGTTGGATTCGATCTTAGACCAAATATATGCAAAAGGATACACATAACCACATTACTACAGAGTTGCGATTTAAATTTAGATATAAATAAATATATATATGATATATTATTATATAAATAATTATATGATTTTTTTATTGCGAGCTAAAATGAGCCGAGCACGAGCGAACAAAGAGTTGTTCATGTTCGGCTCGTTTATAATCAAGCTTAAGAAAATTGTTTTTGTTTGGCTCATTTAACGAGGCGAACATGAGTTGTTCGTGTCAATGAGTTTTTTTAACAACCCTAGCTGTGGCAATCATTTTGCAGTGAGAAGAGGTCAATTCTCAGTAGTTACAGTATCATCCCTGCTCAAATCACACTGAACTCTATTTGCCATCATAATGACCTTTGTCATTTACATGCAGCGAGTTGAAATACCTTGGTCGATCGAGTTATTCTCATTTTTTTTTTCATGGTCGACTGTGATGGTTGTACATTGTTCTTGTATGACCTTAAGCTTCGTATGGTCGGGGTCGAGAACAAGCTGAAGAACTGGGTCTAAGTTTGTGATTGCTACATCCCGCCTCGACTAGGGGATTTGTGTCCAACCAATCACCAAAGAAGTGGCGACGCTGAAGTTGCTACTATATCATATTTGTGTTCACACAAATGATCTGAGGAAGAGAGCTCTCCATTTATCAATTCACAGATTGAGATATTGTCAACATGCTCATGTGGCCCTGTATTTCTAGGGACATGACCTAGAGCCTTTAAGAGGAGTCAGACGAGAAGAAGAAAGGGAGGATGGAAGCGGTGAAGGCAGGGGAGAGGAGACCCAAGGCAAAGAATCCTATGGGGAGAGACAAACCCACCACATGCCTGAGAAAAAAATTCAAGAAAGCCTGACGCTGAAGCCTGCTAAAAAAATTGCATCTTTTTCACCCTTCCTCTCATATTTTATTTCCCATCCTTTTTTTTTTTAACTTTTTGGGGGTTTCCGCAAACACCTTGGCTGAATGTCGTGAGACTTTATCACAAACTTTGGGGGACTCAGGAGTTGCATATGACTGACTAGGAAAGATGAGAAAGGGGGGACGCGCGTTGCATACATCAACCCGTGGGAGAGGTATGTCGCTCAGCGAGGCATTCCAGCTTCTAGAGGTCACCGTGTTTCTGAGGAGAAAATTCTGAAGAAGGTCGATTGGGGTAATGGAAAGGGTTCAAAGAAGAGGAACTGACACCACTTTCTCCTTTACCCGAGACTGAGGGATCACCTCCGAGTTGGATTCCTTGGATGGATAGACAAGCAATGTCTTTGGGAGTTCGGGGGCAGGTATCTGATGATTGGCGCCCAACAAAATTGGTTCAGTGGCCTTACTTTTAGAGAGGGAACAACCTTCCTGGCTATTTGGTCGAGGAGATGTGCTCAAATAGCCTAAATTCTATTTTGGCGGGTATGTCTTTCCTAAGTTGTGCGAAACATTAGATAGATGCAACAGCTTCGCCCTCTCTGTGTCTCACTACCACGCAAAGGCTCTGATACATGAGGAAAAGAAAAGGAAGTCAGTCAGTCAGATGATGGTCAAGGTATCTAAAGGAAAAAGGTAGGTAAAATTAAAGCACAGGTGCATGCAAAAAAGATTAAAAGATTCAACCCAGGAATTAGAGGTTAAAGTTGGGGAACTTGAGCAAACCATTGCCATTTTGACAGCTAATAACCAAGAATTTGAGGCCAAGGTGTTGGGGTGATATGAATAACCTTGCTTTACTCTTCTTAGATTCTGACGACAATGCAGTGGATAAGTCCGAGGGGACTGAGAATCGACAGTCGTAATAGGCCTGTGGCTGTCTAAATTTGTTGCATGAATGCACATGTTTAACTATTTACCTTCTCTTTCTTTTTCCTCTTTATTATTATTATTATTATTTGTTTAACGTCGTCCGGCTAAGTCGGCCCGATGAATACTCATGTAGAAGGGGAGTACTTTTGTTTTTTTAGGAAATGAAAAGGAAAGTTTTCTCGCATCTCATTTTCAACGTATTATTATTATTATTATTTTGTTTTACGTCCGACTCCTCTCTAGCTGAGATAATTTGTGGACATGTGAATGTATGGGTTGAGTAGGTTGCGAGTTTTGCAACACTATCCTGTTGTATCGTCTTGTTTTATGGTCGAGGTTCATGAAATCAGTTTGGATCAGAATATCTCATTGTTGTGATCTTATGAGGCAGAGTGGTCTACCGGTCTTTGACCTCTGTTTGACCTGGCGATCTTGGCTCCACGACTAACAGTCTTCAATTTTCTCAGGTGCAACCGAGCTATCTTGGCACCACACTGTTGGTCTTCAGCCTCTATTCAGCTGGGCAGTCTTGGTTCCATGGTTAACAATCTTCAAATTTCCAGGTGCAGTCGGGCGATATTGGCGCCACGAATTGTTGGCCTTCAACTTCTGCTCAGTCAGGTGACCTTGACTCCACGACTAGCAGTCTTGAACTTTCCAGGTGTAGCCAGGTGATCTTTGGCGTAGTCTGCTATTCTTCAGCTTTTGCTCAGACAAGCGATCTTGGCGCCACAACTAGCAGTCTTTAACTTTCCAGGTGTAACCGGGCGATCTTGGCGCATGGTCTGCTGCTCGTCACCTCTGCTCAACCAACATTCTTGGTGCATCAACTGACAATCTTTAATTTTTCATGTACATTCGGACGATCTTGACGCCACGGTCTATTCGTCTTCAATGTCTGCTCAGCCAGGCGATTTTGGCGCCACGACTAGCAGACTTCAAATTTCCAAGTGAAGTTGGGTGTTCTTTGCACCACGGTCTATTGGTCTTCAGCCTCAGCTCAGTCAGGCGATCTTGGCGCCACGGCTAACAATCTTAGATTTTTCAGATACATTCAGGCGATTTTGGCTCCACAGTCTGCTGGTCTTCATTAAAGGGACACCATATTTATAGTGATAGGTTCTTATACAATTACAAACAGTACCCTTAAGATTTTTAGATACGAGAGTTATTTCAAACTATTTATAAATTTTGCCCTGAGTTCCTTGAATGTGGTCGGGTGTCTATCAAGCTAAGAGTTTATCAAGCCGGGCTACTATTAAGCCGGGTGGTAGTGAGGTCGGGCATCCCTCCAGCAGTTGCTCGCTGAGGGTTTCTGTCTGCCGCTCCGAAACTGGAGAATGTGTTTTCACGTCCTTGGTCTATTTGGGCTGGATGGAGCCTGTTTTGTCTGACTAGATCTAGCAAGGAGATTCCTCAGGGGATTATTTATCCTTTATCCGTCCGAACTATACTTTTTTTCGTTACATTGGGTGTTTGCCGACTGAGTTTATGGTCCTCGACCATCCTTGACAAGTCTAGCAAGGCTACGCCATCACTTCCACAATTCGTGGGATGTCCTTGCGATTCATGCTAACACATTTTTAATGTACATGCACCATCATAAATATGTTGCCACCAACAACTAATGACATATTTTGTACTTTATAAACTTTGTTTCTTATCAAATCAAATAATAATCTCTTATACTTATGATATATTCAATTGCGCAACTCAAATATTTTTAATAGAGTTTTTTATTTAAACAATTCTTATATATTTACATATCCAACATCAAAATTTTTAAATTTATATTTATAACACTTTATTAGAATAAATTTATTCATGAACATGTGATAATGATTTTTTAATTAAATATTAAAATTTATGCATTAGATATATAAATGATGAGAATTATATGGTAAGTATGTAGCACCATATTTTATATTACATTATTTATTAGCAAATTTAATTAAAATACGTGGGCACACTGTCTCCGGTCCCCAACCACGGGGGGCTGAACATATTTCATAAATATTATATACAAATTAACTAACAACCTTAAAGTTCATCCGTCGTCATTCATTTAAAGTAGGCGAGAAAAAGCGAATCGTCATTAAATGTAATGGAAACTTAATTTCATTTTTTTTTAAAGAATAGTTGTCATATGAACGGATCTGTGCGCGTAATAATCCTGTAATAATCATGAGATTATTAAGAGATTATTGAAAATTTATTGAGATATTAATCCTAATAACTTATAACTATAATAGTTTTTCAATAATTTTCATGAGTTTTATTTATATGTAATTCATAATTTTCGTAGATTTTATTTAGATGTCATTCATAAATTATTATGAGGATATTGCAAGATTAATAGAGGACCCACACAGATGAGTGCATATGAACGAAAAAATATTATATCAGGAGTCCGCACGTAGAGTTATGTGCGGAGTCCAATGAAATTACGCTGTGAAGGTGATCGGCCCAGTAACACCAGAGAATATTCCTCTCGTGTTATTCATGTATTATTGTGTATTATTCAGGTGTTATTTTATGTTGTTCAGGTATTATTGTATTATAAAAATATTCTTAGTATTATAATAACATAATAAAATATCAATAATATTTAAATAATTTATAATAATATCTGAATAGTATATAATAACACTCGGATAATATGAGGAGAATATTCATTTTATTAAGACCCGGGCGATAGTAATATTTTTTGACTCAGCGTACATATGAACAGACTTGACCCGACGTCGAAATCATAAATAAAAATTACGCGAATCTGAGAAACATGAAGCTGGTCGAGGAAGAAGACTACGGTGCGAGTCTCCATCTTGCTTTTACGGCAATCTGATACCATTTTTGGAGGAAAAAAATCAACACTTCGCTATCACTCTACCCCAACTCCGCCGCCGCCGGCGTTGCATAACCTAGAAGGATAATTTCTGCTACGGCAGCCATCTCCGATAGAGACTCTAGCTCAGGTGATGGCATCGTCCGTTGATCCTGCTTCCCCGCACTCCGGCGAGGCTGTCCGTAATCTCTCTTCTTCTTGGTCGAATGTTTCACGTGGTGAGCTTGAGCGAAACTCCTTTGCCACCCCTCTTTCCTCGCCGTCGGTCTTACCGATAGCTTCACCGGAGATAACAGGACGATCGCCGCGGAAGGTGTCGGGGGGCTCGGGGCCGGCGCTGTCATCTGTGGGTTCCGAGCATGGTGTTAGCGGCAATGCCGCTGACGCGGTTTTAAGTCCCATGGGGAAGAAGACTGCTTGGAAATTTCAATCGAACGGTACGATCGAGACGGGATCCATTATGGACACTGTTTCGTGGCCTGCACTCTCCGAGTCTGCCAAGTATTCACCGAAATCCGTCTCTTCTGATCTCTTGAAGCCCGTCGCCGATGTGTCGAACTTTACTCCGCCGGTGAGATGACTAGCAATTTGTTTCAAGTTTACTCAATTTTAAAAAATAAAATCGAGAAGCGCACGATCGCTGCGTTTATTTCCGTTCATGCTGATTACTTTTTTGTTTTTTTTGGTAGTCCGCGGCATTGTCTCATTCCTCGAAGCTAGTTTTGAGTAATCAAAACTCTGGTTCTAGTCAAAATCCCGAATCTCCAGCCCGTCAAAAATCCATGAAGCGTGGCGCTGATACCGGCGGTAGCATGAGCAGCTCCGGATCATTGAATGGCGGAGTTGCCATGCCATCTTCCTTGCAGGTCTCGGAGGCAAACCAGTTAGTGCCAGGCAAACAACCCTCTTTAGGTTTTCTTACTAGTAAGGGCCTCCAAAGTAAGAACTATAGCAACATCAATAATGACAAGGATCATGGATCCAAGGCTGGTGGATTTTCTCCCCAACCCTATGGTGGGAATGAACATCAACGAGGCCATGGAGGTGTTAGAAGGGGCAGCACAGGCCACCATAGCAATTATGGCAACAAGCGGGAATCGGAGCGGGGAGGCTACGAGTGGAGTCATCAGAATTTAGGTAGAGATGTCCACATGCAGCAGTCGCATAAGCAGCTAGCTGTTCGACCCATACAAAGGCCTCCGTCGATTGTTGTAGCGCCCTTTATTGCTCCTCCTCCACCTCTTAGGCCTTTTTCCAATCATTTTGGTTTTCCGGGTAAATGACAATTTTTTAGTTATAGAATTGTAGATTGCGTCTTATCTGACTGTATTCATCCTCGTCATTGGGGAACTTATTGGGTTTGATCTTCTTAATAGATTTTCCGTCTCCCGTTTACTATGTTGCCGCCCCTCCTCTTCCAGAGCCCCTTAGAGGCGTCCCATTTGCTCCTCAGGCAAGCCTAGCTCCTCAAGTGATGTTTCTTCCTACACCAGATCCTCAACGTGCTATGCTGCTAAAACAAATCGAGTATTATTTTAGGTATGCATAAAAGTTTCGTTGTCTTCATACTTATGGCTAAATATAACTAGTGAAGTTACCTATCCCTTCTGTCTTCAGCCCGGAAAATTTGTGTAAAGACATATACTTGCGGCAGAATATGGATGAACAAGGTTGGGTTCCTATATCCTTGATAGCTGGATTCAACAGAGTGAGTTGTTTGGCTATTTCTGAGCTTCTCAGTATGCATGTGCCTTTCTTAACTTTGTGACTGTTTTTTGAATATTGAAATGCATCATACAAGTGATTGTAGGCTTTTCTTGCAAAGACTGATGTTTCACACACACATATACACGTATACACAGACACGAGCACGCGCGCGCGTATATATATATATTCCTACGCGTGTGTGTGTGTGTGTGTTGTGTGTGATTCATTCTGCCTCTATGACCATGAAATTATAATGAGAAAGATGAGAGTAAAAATACGAGATAACTATTATTATTGAATTTATTCTCCTGTTATGCAAAAAGCAATGATAAGAAACTGCACATAAATATATGGAGAGACAACTATCCAAGAAAGAAATAAATTTTTAAAATAGTTTGTGGTTATAATTTAGATTTTAATTGCATAATAAAAATGAAAAGTTGTTATCCATAAATTATTGTAGATGAAATGTATTTATCCACAGAATGCTGTAGATGGAAGGCTGTTCATAGATTATTGGATTGCTGTAGATGAAAATGTTTTGGCTACAAATTAAAGTTTATTTAAGCACTTCCCTTCATGGTGGGTTATATATATTTGTCATGTTGAACTTGTTGATTAGATTATCAAAATTAATTTTGGGTAAAACCTTAATGATTATATCTGTAGTTTGCGAGTTTGTTGGAATATATGTTAGTTGGGTTATCCTATTTTATATTTTATATTTTATTTTGGAATGAAATGCCACTTTATTCAATATATTTAGTCATGATGGGCTAAATTTTAATATTATTTATGGTAGCTTAGTTGTCACAATACAATTTTAAAGCTTTTTTACTTTGTAATTCAGCATTTCTAATAGTTTTTTTAGAATAATAAATGGTTAGAAAAGCTTAGCCTGTTCATTCTTTCAAGGAATTTATAGAAAAAACTACAACTAAAAAAGGAAATAAATAATTACATACAAGTAGCATTTAGCTATCGGCCATTTGATTATTTAGAGATCTTTGATTGATACCAAGGGAACAATTCCTCGGCTTGTTCTTTTATTTTTTTGTATATGAATCTGTGATCCTTATAGGCAATAAATTCGTAATAGTTAGTTTTTCTTATCTAGTCTTTATAGATCAAATGACTCTTTAACACTCTATTTCAAATTGGATGGCAAAGGTCCACAATTCCAAATTTGCTTATATTATAATTGAATGGGGGGTTACTGAGCCTTTTGGTAAATATATCAACAAGTTCTCACCCTTTTACTTCATATGGAATGCAAATCAAATCACTTTCTAATTTCTCTCCTTATGAAATGTCTATTTATTTTAACATGTTCGGTACGATCATGCTCTTCTAGATTATGAGGAATGCTACCGATAAATTTATTATCATTATATAATATATATCTTCATGGGTCTTGAAGTCGTCTAGTATGATTTTTATCCTTTGAAACTTGCATATTTCTTGGGCAATTGGCTTAATTGTAAATTCAACACTAGATCTTGATATAATGGGTCATTTCTTGCTCCTCCAATTTATGAGATTTTTTCCCACTGTGCAGTATTTTGAGCTGGATCCTCTATCCATAGGTGTTTTAACATATTTTGTCTTAGTATATTTTTCAATTTTTAGAATATCTTACCTTTTATATAAGATTCTTTTTCCTAGCCTTTATTTAAGATATATAAAAGTTCTTTAATCAGTTTGAATGTGATATTCCTTAGGTTTGTGTGTAAACTGACTAACAAGACTAATTATGAATGTTATGTGAGGTCGGGTGGGAGTCAAATAAATTAATTTTTAAACTAAACTTTGATATCATCCCATGTCTAATGCTCAATTTCTGACGTAGTTCAGTTGGAGTTTCACACTGCTAGCATACTGTCATTTTTGTTTCTTTTAGTAAATCTTTAATATATTTTTGTCAGGAGAAAAATATTTCTTGTTCAGATTTGAGCAACTTCTATGCCCAAAAAGTATCTGTGTTTTGCCCAACTTGTTGATTTTAATTTCTTTAGCAAGTTTCTTTCTAATGCTCTTTTTCTCATGGTTGTCATCACCTACAATAATCATATTATCAACATATGTTATGAGAATTGAAATTTTTTCATATGAGCAATGTTTTTTGAAGAGTATATGGTCTATTTGATTTTTTTATCTAACTCCTGTCTTAGTCTTTGTGAATTTATCAATCCAAGCTTTGAGGGGTTGTTTCAATCCATATTGTCTTCTTTAATTTGCATATCTTGTTCTTTGAAGACATTTTTAAACCTTGGTGGTAGATCTATGTAGACATTTTTTTCAATTTTCTCATGTAAGAAAATATTTTTTACATCATACCATTGCATGGAACATTCAAAATTAGTAGCTAGAGAAATTAAAATGCAGATTGTATTCATTTTTGCAATTGGAGCAAAACTTTCTTGATAGTCAATTTCATCAATTTGAGTGACGCAAATGAATCAAGCACGACACGGGCATGAGCACGCCGTTTAATGCTGCGGGTGTGGTGTAGGGGGAGCGGTGGGCTTCTCCCCGGTTTCTTTCGTATTGACCGAATCGGTCCAGACCCGGGAGGGTTGATTGGCGCTCCCACTGGGGATTAACGCCTTCTATCCATAGGGGGATCCAATCTTAGTTATCTAGAGCTTATATACATGATTTCTGTTTTTAGGTTTTCAGTACTTGGTTTCAGATTTCTACTCTCAGCGTCGTTCTCCCCTTTCAGGGTTAAGGTGCTCTGGTTGTAACTTGTCCGAGGTGGTGACCCTCACTGTCGCTTTCCAGCACCCAGCCAACCCCCTCTTCTGCCACCTATCCGCTGTCCCAACCTCACGAAATCCCTTCCCCTGCATCCTTGCTACTGTCCTAGCCTTCCCGAAACCTGTCCCCGCCTTATCGAACTAGGTGTTCCAACCATCCCCAAACAACAAACTACTGCTGTTTGGACTGCCATCCCTTGCTGCCCTGCTGTTCTAGCCGCCCATAATCGATGCCACACCTCTTCCATAGTATGAAAACCCCTTTCCTTCCTTGTTGCCATCTCTACAAGCTTCTAATAGTCACCACCGTCACCCGGGATCAACCCTAATGCGAGTTTTCTTGTCATGTGCATTGTATTTTTCTTTTCGAGTGTGTTTGATTGTAAACACATATTTGCTTAAAGTACTAATATTTGCCTTTTCTATTGCGGCTTGGGTTAACTCCGGTTTGATTGAGTGTATCCTTTAACTACTAATCCTTCCAAGTATCGTTCCAAACTCTCATTTGCCTTATTCTTTATAGAAAAAAATCACTTGCATCTCACATTTTTTTTTCTTTTTGGTAGGCCCACAATCTCTAAGTTTGATTTTTTATTCAGGGCATTCATCTCTTCTCTCATAGCTCTCCAACTTTCATTTTATAGTGCCTCACTTAGAGTTTGTGGTATTATAATAGAATTGGAGTTGATATTTGTAAAAAAAGTCTTATGTGTAGGAGAGAAAAATTAAAAAGATGTATAATGGGAGATGGGGTAAAAAACAGTCTAGAGAAGATGATCATTGTTACCTGATATTGGTTCTGAGCTTTGCAGTTGCTGGAGATTTAGGTTGAACTTATTTCTTCTTATGTAAACGTGAAGAAGTACAACATTATGATTTATTGGATTCTGAGCTGTAGGGATGTCAAGATGAAAGATAGATGTTTCATCAAATTTCATTCTGTTGGACATTCTCAACATGAAGATAAGTTTGGAAAAAAAATTGTTTTTTATCAAACGTGATATCCATTGATGCATGGAATTTTTTTGTGATGGAATGATAACATTTGTATCCTTTTTGAGTCGGGGAATACCCAAGCAACATACACGTAAGAGCACTTGGATCCAAAATTTTTGTTGTTGTTTGTGGGTTTGAATATATGTAATGCATCAAAAGACTTTTTGGGGAATCTTTGGGAATTATGTCGGATAATTTAAGGAATTTTTGGAGTCAATCACTTTTGATGGTATTTTAATGATTACGTAGGTGATAATTATAACAATTTCTCTCCAATATCATTTTGATACTTGATTTTAGAGGAGAAGAGTTTTGTTAGCTTCCAAAAGATTATTTTTCTCTCATTATTTTTTTGGAGAGTGTAAGGACATGATGATTAATGGATGATATCCCATTTTTGAACGATGGAAGGCAATGTGTGATTAACGCAATCACAGGCATTATCAGTTAGAAACATTTTAATATTAATATTGAATTGATTTTTTATCTGGACAGTGAATGTAAGAAAGATAAATTTGAGATTCAATTTTTGTTTGATAGGGTATGCCCAAATCATTTGAGTGGAGTCAACAGTGAAGGTGATAAATCCCATGGCATCAAAAATATTGAGGATATTGGAGAATCCCTCATTTGCCTTATTCTTTATAGAAAAAAATTACTTGCATCTCACATTTTTTTTCTTTTTGGTAGGCCCACGATCTCTCAAGTTTGATTGTTATTCAGGGCATTCATCTCTTCTCTCATAGCTCTCCAATTTTCATTTTATACCACCTCACTTAGAGTTTGTGGTATTGTAATGGAATTGGAGTTGATATTTGTAAAAAAAGTCTTATGTATAGGAGAGAAAAATTAAAAAGATGTATAATGGGAGATGGGGTATAAAACAGTAGAGAGAAGATGATCATTGTTACTTGATATTGGATCTGAGCTTTGCAGTTGCTGGAGATTTAGGTTGGGCTTATTTCTTCTTGTGTAAACGTGAAGAAGTACAACATTATGATTTAGTGGATTCTGGGCTGTAGGGATGTCAAGATGAAAGATAGATGTTTCATCAAATTTCATTCTGTTGGACATTCTCAACCTGAAGATAAGTTTGGAAAAAAAATTATTTTTTATCAAACGTGATATCCATTGAATTTTTTTGTGATGGAATGATAACATTTGTATCCTTTTTGAGTCGGGGAATACCCAAGCAACATACACGTAAGAGCACTTGGATCCAAATTTTTTTTTGTTGTTTGTGGGTTTGAATATATGTAATGCATCAAAAGACTTTTTGGGGAATCTTTGGGAATTATGTCGGATAATTTAAGGAATTTTTGGAGTCAATCACTTTTGATGGTATTTTATTGATTATGTAGGTGATAATTACAACAATTTCTCTCCGATATCATTTTGGTACTTGATTTTAGAGGAGAAGAGTTTTGTTAGCTTCCAAAAGATGATTTTTCTGTCATTATTTTCTTGGAGAGTGTAAGGACATGATGATTGATGGAACGATGGAAGGCAATGTGTGATTAAAGTAATCACAAACATTATCAGTTAGAAACATTTTAATTTTAATATTGAATTTATTGTTTATCAGGATAGTGAATGTTAGAAAGATAATGCTTAGATTCAATCTTTGTTTAATAGGGTATACCCAAATCATTTGAGTGGAGTCATCAGTGAAGGTGATAAATCCCTTAGCATAAAAAATATTGAGGATATTGGAGAATCCTCAAATATCAAAGTGAATTCATAATTGCTTTCAGGAAAAAAATTACGATGATGTTTTGCAAGATCATGTCTCACAATGGAAATCCTTAATGTTACATTCATAACTAGAGAAGGAAATATGCATTGAAGGGTTTTAAAAGAGGGATGTCCTAGCCTACAATGATGTTTTCATATGATGTCGGCATTGTTGGTGGAATTGAAAGAGTATGGCAATTGATTATGCGTTTCAAGAAGATATAACTTATCTTTCTCTTTAGCTTGCAAATCATCTTCCCGGTAGTGAGTCATGAAACATACAATAGCCAGCAAAATTTTATGGATTGATAAAATGTTAACCACAAGATGAGGAACATATTATACATAACTGAGGGTAAAATAGGGAAAATGAAGATATTTTCTTGTCCTGCAACAGTTTTTATGGAACTATTACTTTTATTTTCTATTATTAGGACATAGAATTTAGGTTTGAAAGATTATAACATATTTTTCATATAGTTAATAACACCAAAATTGAGAATTTAGGTTTGGGAATGTGTAAGCAAGAGCATGATCTAGATCGCTTTTCCAAAGAATTGAGTAAATTCCTTAACTTTTTAATTTCTTTCAAGTTGATTCTATCTATATCCACAAAAGAGGCTCGTTATTTCTTATTCCTTTCTTTGTTTCCATCATACTCTTGGGTTTCTCGTGAAGTTTTCAGCTTTTCTTTTTGAGTATCCTTTCTATTACAATAGTTGCATCAAAGATTACCTTTGAGGGGAAGGTTTTGTTTTTATTTGGGAGAATAATCTATAATAGCAAATCCCTTACCCAGGGTTTAGTGGTTTTGATGTTATATTTTTCGGAGATAGGATTATTAAACATCTTGATTCTTCCTTTTTCAGCTCGTATAATGGAGAAAATCTCATTTAGAGAAGGGAGGTTTTTTCTACTTAAGATTTAGAATTGAATTTGATCAAAGTCCCTATTGAGTTTTGTAGGAAACTCAAATACTCTTTCTCTTTCCACAAATTGGTTGAGGGCCACTGCAATTTTACAACACGTTATCTCGAGATCTTGGTAATAATCCAGTTCAAGCAAAAAACTTTCATGACATCAAAATATTCAATGACAATATTACTTTGTTTAGTTGTGGGGAGTTTTGTTTTGATCTCATTGATAAGTGTCACATCATTAACTTTTGAGTAAGTTTGTTTGATAAATTTTCAAACCTCTTTTACATTAGATAGGAACATCTACGACTCATTGATTTCCAACATGATATTCCACAACCACGTCATTATCATAGAATCCATTTATTTCCAAAGTATATACCTTCTACTTTTGGCTCTAGAGGTAGATCCACAAGATGGATCTTTCCTTTTCCTTTCAGAAATATTTTCATGATTTGAGAACACTTCAGATAATTTTTCCCATCCAAGCGATGTACGGTTTGAAATTTCTAGAGTTTTCATTTAGTTTGATTTTCACCATTCATTTAGGTCAACTATTTGGAAGGGAAGTCAAATATGTCAGACATTGCGAGGTGAAGTTTGATTGGAAAGCGATTGGAGACTAAGCCAGGATGCAATCCCTACGAGGGCCTGGCTTGCTCGCAGAGGCCTCACCGATGTTACTACTTGCCCCTGAGGATGCTAGAACATTGAGACTGGAACCATATTATTACGAATTGTTTGTTTTTTTGCAGGGTATGAGATGCATTGGGGCGGTTTGACGTTACCTTCCCACTTTCTACAACCTCAACGATGCCTTCTCACGACACGACATGCAAAATTACAAAAGCTTGTTGTTTCTGCTATGCAATCCACCATTGTGTATGAGCATGTAACGCCAAAACATACAACAAGACCCACACGTCAACGATCATTGCTGCAACCGTTCTTAAGGCGCTTACGACGACACATATTTTCTTTTTGGGAGCAGTGGGATGTTAACCAACCCTCCGGGTCGGTCCACTACTTTCTGGCATCCTCCCCCTCCCGGATGGATTAAAGTAAATATTGACGGTTCTCTTCTTCCCTCTAGGTCGTTCGACACAAGAGCTATTTTGCGTGATGAACGGGGCCTCGACATTGTTGCCACCGGGCATCATTTTGAGCATTGGGATAGTGCCCAAGTGGAGCTTCAAGCTATCAATTCCATTCAAAGTATTTGCTAACTGTCGATGCTCAAATGCAAGGGCATTATCAGAAGGGGACAATGCCAACATTATGCAATATTTGAGATCTACCATCAAATAGACGTTTGGAGCCAATGACCGCCTGAAGCACCGAACTTAGCTATTCTTTTGAATTTGAAGGAAGCTTTATTTTTTTTGCACACCTAGGGAATGTAATAGGGCGACTCATTTTTGTGCCAAGCGCGACCTTAGTGGCTCTTTCTTTTGATACATGTAGATGATGATAGGGAGCTTTCTTCTATACTTGTAGATGATCGGCTTATTTTTGTACATGATAGATGCACACGTGCATAACTTTGTAACTTTTGATCATTTAATGCAAAATGCAACATTTCAAGGAAAGGGATTGGAGGAGCTTAAAGAACAAATGTTGGGAAGCAAAAAATCCTGACTTCGATATGATATCATAAAGAAGAATAAGTGGTTGGAAAGGTTTAGCTTGTTCATTCTTTCAATGGGTATTTATATGTAAAACTATAAATTAAAAATAATAAATAATTACATAAAATAAGTATTTAGCTATCAGACGTTTGATTATTTAGTGATCTCTGATTGATGTCAAGGGAGCAACCGTGATTTTTTTTTATTTTTATTTATTGTACATGAACCATCTAATTTTTCTCATCTATTGTACATGAACCATCTAATTTTTCTCATCTAAACTTTATTGTTTCAACGTGTCTTCAACATTTTTTAACCCTATTCCTTCATAAGTATTAAATGGTGCTAATATATATTTTGCTTCAACACTTTTTTTGAAATTACAGATTATTTTATACTTTTTATATGGCTAAGTTTCCTCATAAGTACGATAGGTAGAGGCGAGTCTTCATTAGGTTGCGTCTCAAACATCATCAGTTTCTGTTTTTTATTTTTAGTGGATGAATTTTTAAATAACATGCTTATTGTTGGTATTATCTTGAGGTATTTTAGAATACGGTTAATGGCTTCTATGTGATTTTCAATAGGTTTGTTCATATTTAGTTTTGCAATACTGACAGGAGAGTGTAGGAGAGAGAGAGAGAGAGAGAGAGATGAGTTTATAAAAGCATTGATATTTATCTTTATCAATGGGCTTACTGTTGGTGGTAAGTCGCACATTTTTTGTTGGGTCCATTGGAGTTTTTGAAGGCTTGCATCCAAGGCGACTCTTCACTGTTCTGGCCTTGCACTATTTTTCACTTGTTGCTTCATGCGCATTGGTTTTCAACCCTTCACTACTCTCGATCACGCTTTTTATTTTATGAACCGTTAAAGATAAGTAAAAAGGTATAATATTTACATTTTTTGAAAATACCCTCCTACCACACCTCCATCAGCTTTGTGCGCACTTTTCAATAAATAATATAGCAAATTTAATTGGACTTTTGTGGATCATATTTAAGGAGCCAAGAGACTAGTTTGAATATATTAGACTGTTTAAGCTTAAGATGACGGCCAGATGACGGCCCCACCTCTCTACGTTTAAGCTTAAGATGACGGCCCCACCTCTCTACAAAAAAAAAAAACCCAGAGAGATCATTTTGACTTTTTCCTCAATAGGTTCCTATCTAGACTGTTGGATTACAAAAGTCTAATGATTTTTAGTTGAAAGTAGTTTTCCATTCATGCCGCACCATTTAAACAATCCGTCATGAGCCTTGAAAGCAGTATTCCATTCATCACCAACTCAAATACGAATTTGGTGATATCCGCTCTGCAGGTCTAGCTCTGAGAATATGATAACCTCTTGCAATTTATCAAACATACCATCCCGGCAGGGAAGATTAAACCTGTATTTGATGGTTTCTTGTTGATTAAGCAGCTGTCCACACACAATCTCCATTTATCATCTTTTTTGGCACCACTAGAGCGGGGACAACACATGGGCTCATACTATATGACTTCTGAATTTCTTTGAGAGTAGATCTTCTCCAATTTCATGCAATATTTCCTGTTTTTTGGGGTTCATTTTATAGTGAGGAAAATTTGGCAAAGAAGAACCAGAAAGTAAATCAATTTGGTGTTGAATATCTCATTGTGGCAGAAGTTGGCTCAGCAGATCAGATGGAGTGATATCAACAAACTGTTTTAGCAATATCTGTACTTTCACAGGCATCTGAACATTACTCAGATTTTGTTCTGTGACTAATAGACTTAGAAGCTTTGGATCTTCCCTGCAATTTGAAAGGAATCGAGTATTCAGAATGCGCAATAAGGTTGCATTTTTTAAAACCTCTTTGAGCTTAATTGGAGTAGGCAACAAATGGATTCATCGTCCCTTCCAGTCGAACACATAATATTCTCTCGGCAATTATACCGTGCACCCATATTGAATTTTCAATGCATACCCAGAATTACATGACTGACATCCATATCAAATAAATCACAGTAAATATAACAAGCATAATGATTGCTTTTACAGAAGTTTGCCTTGCAAATTTTATTAACCGGCACTTCTATTCCCTTCTTAAACCAATTGAAATTGTAAGGATGACAGTCCTTGGAAGTTTTTAATTCAAGAGCTTTAACCTCCTTACTTGAAATCACGTTTTCAGAACAACCACTATTAATTAATAGATTGCATACTTTGCCATGTATCGTGCAAAGAGTGTGGAAAGTAGCATGTTGCAGTAAAGTTATGGGCTACCTTGGGGCGATAAGGATTCTTTCCAAAATACACAAGTGTAACTCTCGCTCTTCTTCAGAAGTATCTTCAATGACTTGCATCTAATACAGACAATCACTACTATTGTCCACCACTTTTTCCTCAAGGAGATGCATCTGCTTCCTCTGCGGACACTAGTTTGATCGGTGATCTGGCTGGAAACATCTTAAGCATATGGATGGTCCCGGTTTACTTTTTAAGTATTATTACACTGCTATAGTGGTTTGGTTGAGGATTTGAAATCATTATCAGCAGCCATTGGTTCCTTGGAGGACTGAAGGTTGCTTCCATTTCCGGGAATATTAACGAGTTTGCTTTGATCAGCACCAAAGGTACTCATTTCAAGTTTATCCTGTATTGATTATTTCAAAACTCCACTGTGTCATACTATAAGCTATTGTTGATTTTCCAGCAAATTTTGATGAGTGCTCAACCCGTAAAATTCTTCGGTATAAGCTCCAACAGAACGAGTGCGTTGTGAACACCTTTGATATTGTATTTACAAGAGCTGTTCATAGTTGTAGGAAGGAAATGGTTGTGCAACAATTACTTCATTTTCTCTAGGTTTTGACGCTGCCCTTTCCTTCCCAACGATGTGTTTGAGTGAGCTGAATCCACCAAGCTACATCACCTCCTTCCAATTTGCACGCAATATATTTCACCTGCCTTTCGGGATATATATCCATGTATTCCAAGAATGATTTTATGGAGTATTCCCAGTCTAAATAATTCTCATTATGAAGGTGACAATCAAACAAGGGGTTGTCTAGCTTGAGCTTGGAATCCCCTCTCATCAAATAGTGGTAATTCTTCAACTAATTTTGAATCAGAAGGAAGGTTTCGTTCTCTTGGTAAAGGTTCCTCTCTGGAATCAAGATGCCCGGAAAGCACCGAATAATTGGAACGTCGGGGCCTTCTATAATCATGATTTTCCAAACTAGCAGCTTCCCCCACAAAAATAGTGACTGGGATGACCAGTGTGATTGCCGGCAAGGGTCTGCCATTGATCCTAGAAGCTCGAAGCTCTTGCCTCATTTCTAGCATAAACTGCTGAAATTGCTAAATTAAGATTTCAAGTTTTTGCTCCATGGCACTCTAAGCTTCTTGCAGCGTTTACCTTGCACGATCATTTTTGCTTCTCTCGACCATGTCTTTGATTCCAACAATGGTGTAGCACCTGAGAGGAGGCAGATAAATGGAAAGAAAAAGGCAGAACAAATATCAGTTGTAACAATATCTTCCAGCTATAATAGAGGATTATATACATCCCCGTAAAGATAGCTCAACACTACTAATAAAAGTATTCAATTTCATTCATGGAGCATGGCGTCGTCGATGAAGTAGAGGAAGAGGAATCAAAGGAGAATCTAGAGAAGGAGCTTCAACTCTAAAGAGATAAGGGAGAGATGCTAGTCCTATAGAGAGTCCTGCGGATAGAGTCGGAGATGGACCATTCATGACCGAGGCACAATATTTTTCGAATAAAGTGTACAGTGAAGGACAAAGCTCGTAGTTTGATTATCGACAGTGGAAGCTGTGAGAATGTAATATCCACGCTGATGGTGAAGAAATTGGGGTTGGCTACACAGTCCAACTCCCTTGCCTCATTGTAAAGGGGAAATAAGTACCAAGTTGATCAACAGTGCATGATTGAATTTTCGATTGAGGATCAACCACACTAGCAAATGTGGTGTGCGTGGTTTCTATGGATGCGTGCCATATTCTGTTGGGGAGGCCATGACAGTTCGACCGCGAGACCCAACACGATGACTTCTAGAATACTTATTGATTTAAAAAGGATGCGAGACACATCGTGCTTTTAACCATTAAGGATGCGAGATACATATACATCACAAAGGAGACAATAGTCCCGAGAGCCACCTTCATGCGGTTGGTCCAAGATGCTCCAGTGGCAATAGCGTTGGTCTTACTACAGGGAATTAAGGAAGAGAATGAGATATCAACACCTAAATAACCACTACTATGTGACTTCTAGGATGTGATGAGTGACAGTAATCCAGAGGGATTGCCTCCACTGAGGAACATTCAACACTCCCTCAATCTCATACCTGGGTCAGTGTTACCAAATATGCATGTCTGCAGATTGTGAACTACATAACACGAGTTGCAGCAACAGGTACAAGATCTTGCCGAGGGAGGGTTGGTCAGAGAGTATACCAGTCCTTGTGCTGTTCTGTCTTGATGGTACCCAAGAAAGACATATCGTGGAGGATGTTCATTGATTGTAGGGACACCAACAAGATTACTATCAAGTACTAGTTCCTCATACCTTTCCTAGATGATCTCTTGGATCAATTGCACGGAGCCATTGCTTTTTCCAAAATCGACTTACGTAGTGAGTACCCCAAATCGGGATGAGGCAGGGAACGAGTGGAAGACCACTTTCTAGATGCGAGATGGATTATACAAGTGGATAGTTATGTCTTTTGGATTGTCTAATCGCCCAACAATTTCATGAGATTGATGAATCAGGTGTTCCAAGTTCACATTAAAAAATTCATGGTGGTGTATTTCAACGACATTCTGGTATACAACAGGTCCAAGGAGGAGCACTTACAACACCTAAGGACGATCTTCGAGCTTTTGCGATCAGAAAAACTATACACCCATCCAAAGAAGTGTCACTTTCTAACAACACATGTATATTTTTTAGGTTATATCGTGTCTAGTG